TCACTACACAACCCTTGAATTTTGCATGTTAATTCACACCTGTTAAGACCTTGGCAATAACCTATATCAGGGTTTCTCCATGAAAAGGCTAGCAGCACATTTCGCAGTTTCTGGATCCCTTCAGAAGTAGGTGAAGAGTAGTGCTTGTTGTTTGGCAAAGTTCGCAAGAGATCCAGCTCTATTTGTTTGGATGCAGGATTTTGTTTTTCAAGGGCATTCTGAAGCAGGGTTTGGAAATACCCAGGATCAGTGCCGTCCTTGAATTTTTTAACATGGAGGTTGATGCACCACTTCCACATCTTGGAACGATGGTCATGGGGAATTCCAGCACGGATAAGATTCTTCAGTTCTGGAATGCGTACCATCTCTCTGTTCATTGTGCTTGCAAAATAGTTTTCCCATTTTACCCCCGTGGAAATCTCTTTGTTTTCAGTAAGAGAAATGGATTTCAGATCCAAGGCTCGCACTTTTGCTACTAGTTTCTCTTCCTCATCATCCTCTGGGACTGTCTGGAACCCATAAATATCATATTCACTGTAAAGAGAGAGAGAGAGAAAACAGTTTCTATAAAATGTTTGCACTCTGGAAATTCTCAGAAACCTAGGGCCAGGTTGTCCTGTATTTGGTAGTTAAAAAATACTGGATAATTTTGCTGTTGCTTCCTTTTGTACCCACTCATGTGCATTAATAGGAAACCTCCACACACATGCTCACAAGGCCACTATGTGATTTCACTGATGTAATAATGCTCAAGTAGATATCTGCTTATATATAGATCTTTCACTGCTACTCATTTGCATGTTAGAAACTGACCCACCAATACACACGAGTCAAGAGTGAAAAGTCGGAAAAAGTATAGTTTGATGGTTAAGTGGTAGAGGATGAGAAAGGACTGCATGTTCATCCTCCTGATGTTTTTAATATACCTTTAATACAGATTAAGTTTCCTACTTAAGCTCTATTGCCTGCACTTTCCCTAAGAACAGAACGGACCCTCTACAATGAATTTATTAGATATGAAATAAGCCCTCAGCTATTTTTCCCCTTCTAAGTGGCCTCAAGATTTACCTGACCAAGTGAGGTTTAAAGAAAGCTTGTTCTGGTTGCTCACTGCTGTCCACTTTCAAGGCATCTTCCAGCAACTGGGCAATAACATCACGGGTAGGGCTTCGCTCTTCAGAGCAAACAGGAGTCTTCATTTCTTGAAGCAAGATCAAGTATTTACTTTCTATCTGACACAGCTTAGCCTCCAGGCTAGAATACTACAAAGAAGAAGATACAATTACTACAC